GGCGACCGCGGTGGGCGCTGGCTCTGACCCCGCCCGCCTCGCGCCTCCAGGGTCTGCGCCGGCCCATCAGGCGGTGCCTCCCTCCGTGCCACTGGGCCCGCAAGCGGGCTCAGAAAATCAAGCTGCTGCGAGGGGCCACGCGACGTCTCATCGGGGGCGTGGTTCTCCGCGTCGTCGCCCCTCACCCTCGTACCGATCTGCACATCGCGGCGGCCGTGGCGGCTGGAGGGGAGGTCACGGTCGCGGCCAAGGAAACGCGACGGAGGTGCAGCAGCTGCGCGCCGATCTGCCGTGGATGTTTGCGGCCGCCATGCGCTCCGCGCAGATGGGATCGTCGAACCCGATTGGCTCGCAGCCGCCGCTTGCAGCCCCAGCTGTCCCGGCGCCTGTTGTCGAGCGGGCTCCCGCGCCTCAGCCTGCTGCGCCGCCCGTGTTTCCGCCCGCGTTCGAGAGGACGGCGGCGCATCCGTACCCCGTGCTCCCGTGGGTTCCTCCTGTCGTCGGTATGGAATTTGTGGGGGCGGGAGGAGGAGCGGGGAGGGCGCCGTTTGTCCCCCCGCGCCGCATTGCCGACTTTCTTCCTGCTGACCCCGCTCCTCGTTGTAGTCTGGCCGAGGGGACCTTTCCCCGGCAGATTCTAGTGCCCACGGTGACCCTTGGGCAGCTGTGGCGCTTGGCGGAGTGCCTTCGGGGCCTGCTACTGATTCAGGTGAGCGCCCACGCGTCCATTCTGGCGACCCAAGAGAACACTCTTGGTCCTGAATCGCGAGCTGATTCTCTGGCTGCAGCTGGGCAGCTTGCCGCGCTTGTTGCGCCCTTGCTGGTAGCGCCCGTGCGGGGAGGCGCGGCGGGCGGGCAGGTGGACGAAGCGGTCCGTGCGGGTTCTGAGAGGGCACCTGCGGGCTGGGAACGGAGTCCAAGTGATCGGCGCAAGCACAATGGTGCTCCGCCCCCTGTGGAGGACCCTGACGGGGATCCTTGCCGCCCTAGAGGCGGACCAGATGTAGTAACTACTGCCCTACGTGCGTAAACGAGCTGCATGTTTTGCACTCTTGCTGGTCAAAGTCTAGATGCCTGTATTACTCGTTATAGTGTTGCGTGGGCGCTTGTAGCTAGACTTGCCGTTCCTAACGCGCGGCCGAAGGCCGCGCTTGCGAGCGACGGCGGCCGAAGGCCGCCGGCGCGAGCGCCGTTTTCCCTACCACCAAATGAACTAATGAAAAGAGGAAGGGCCGAGGGGCCCTTATATAGCTAGAGGGCCGAGGGAAGAGGGCCGAGGGAAGAGGCCAGAGGCTAAGTCCTCTCTCTCTCTCTCTGTGGACTCTACTGAGCTCAGCTGCCAATGCGCCTTGACCCACCGCCGCCATGCGCCTCACAGAAACACGTTTGTTTGGGACGTGAAACGTGGGATGCAGCAATACAACAGAGTAGTGCAACGACATGGGCGGGTGGGCGGAAGGGAGGAGTGCAAGGGTTGGGGAGGGAGCTTAGCAGGATTCAGAAGTTGCACGTAGCTTTTCGCAGGTCGCTTTCCGCACGGCGTTTTCCGCTTGTCGCTTTCCGCACGTCGCTTTCCGCACGTCGCTTTCCGCACGTCGCTTTCCGCACGTCGCTTTCCGCACGTCGCTTTCCGCACGTCGCTTTCCGCACGTCGCTTTCCGCGCGCCGCTTTCCGCGCGCCGCTTTCCGCACGTCGCTTTCCGCACGTCGCTTTCCGCACGTCGCTTTCCGCACGTCGTTTTACGCTTGTCGCTTTCCGCACGTCGCTTTCCGCACGTCGCTTTCCGCACGTCGCTTTCCGCACGTCGCTTTACGCTCGTCCCTTTCCGCATCTCGTTTTCCGCGCGCCGTTTTCCGCACGTCGCTCCGCACGTCGCTTTCCGCAAGTCGCTTTCCGGACGTCGCTTTCCGCGCGTCGCTTTCCGCACGTCGCTTTCCGCACGTCGCTTTCCGCTCGTCCCTTTCCGCACTCGTTTTCCGCACGCCGTTCTCCGCACGTCGCTTTCCGCTCGTCGCTTACCGCATGTCGCTTTCCGCACGTCGCTTTATAAATGTCAGCAGCAACACTCGCAGTCGTGGTCTTGTCAGAAATCGTCGCTTCGATCGTCAAAGTGAGAGCTCGCAGTTTTGATCGTCACCATGGTGAGAAGTCGCAGTCGTAAGCGTGACAGCCAGAACGCGTCACTTCAGTCGTTTTTGTGACAAGTGTATTAAATGTCACAGTCGAAAAGTGTCGCATCAGTCGTCACCGTCAGAAGTCACCGCCTTGATCATCATAGTCAGAGAGCGTCGCTTCAGTCGTCACTGCGGGAAATCGGTCTCTAATCATCACCGTGAGAAGACACGGTCGTTCGTCACCGTCAGAACACCACCCTCTCTTGTCAGCGTCAGACGGCACCGTCACTCGTCACCGTGAGAAGCGGCCGTGTCGTTTGTCAACGTCAGAGAATACCCTCTCAGTCACCACCTTTAGAAGACGCCGACTCACTATTCGATGTCAGAAGTCCTCGCCGAATCATTTGGCGAGGCCTTCGCCATCTAAAACAGCTGTCCCGAGCAGTATACCAGCGTCGACCATCGCCAAATCGAACCGTTACTATAGCCGCTTTAAGGAACTTATGGAGAGCTTCAGAAGATCTCTAAGGCATTTCGGCGAACCGTCATTCAGCGAACCCCTCTCTCCTTACGACCGTCAGGCATGGTCTAGAGTACTAGAGCAGTGGTTCTTTGTAATGCTGGAGCCGAGACACCGATTAAGCTAGAGGCCATTGCTAGATGGCAGAATGCCAGTGGATGACGGCCATGTACTATTGGGAGAGTCCCCTCACGGATTCCGAGGGTCTACAATTGGAGCTGCTCCGAAGGACTGGAATCTTCGTTCTATAAGCTCTAAATGTCTCTTGCGACTGGAGCATGCATGGAGCATGCATGCGACTTATTGTTACTGGTCTGCGCTGGAAGAAGACGTCGCAAGGGGGTCAGCCTTGACGCAAGCAGTGAAGATCAAGATGTCTAAAGATTACGATGACAAGGCTGTCACAGCGCCCTAAAAGTAACTGAAACAGAAATCCTAGTAGTCACAACAATCCTAGTAGACACTAAGTCACACTGGAAGTCGATTGTCACACTGGTGATCATCTGCCTAATGTCTGGGAGTTGGCGAGCGGACTTCGGTGGCCATGAAATCCATAGCCCGTGAGAGGGAAACAGGATTTCAGAATGGCGTTCTGTGAAGCAACTTTGGGTATTCAGAACGATTGAGAGCGGTTCCCAGTAGATTTCAGATGGCAACAGCAGAAGAGCACGCTCCCTCTGGTGGTCAGGTGGAGGCCGCCGTATCGTCGGCGGGTATGTCAGTTTCGTGAACCGAGCTTTGACGACTAGGTTTGCTGGCAAAAACTGTGGTTTCGCGAGGTCGCTAGAGATTCGCAAGCAGAGTTACAGTTTTGGGCCGAAGCGCGGAATTTTCTTGGCGCGGGAACTGTTCGAAGACGATGATCTCTGACAGTCTATCATGTGATGGCCATGCATTTGACTATTGTTCACCTTTGTTCTCCGATAATGCTCTCCGATATGGTATAACACAACTTCTCACAGATTTTCTATGGACCATCATAACTATCGGTGCAAGAATGTGGTTGGTACATTCAGGGGGCTGTATCACACATTTGGCTGGGATTGAGGTGCTCATTCACTGGTACACTCTCAACCACAGGCACTCAGTCAGGCACGCCGGGAACATTAACCATGAGGTCGATTGGTACACACAGTAGATCTTCACATTGATCACATCAGTTGGTTTGCCTGGATTGCATATTGGCCTCTACAATGCACATTGTCACTCAGATATTCAGTAGCCAAAAGCTTTCACTAGAGCATTACAGTTCTCAAGCAACCTTCCTTATTAGGATCACCTGAGCTTCTGAAACTGCCCCCTGCCATTCCAAGATGGGTTAACTGGCTCTTGTGTTTGAAACTCTGGTGAGCCAGCATGTAAATCTTCAGGCAACTCCTCACGTGAGCCTCCAGGTGAATCTTCAGGTGAATCTCCTTGAGAGCCATCTGGAGAGTCGAAGCATGAGTCTGCCCGTGACACAAAGGAGTTGTGGGCGGTGGTGCGGGCCATGCTGAGTCGAATCATCGCTCGGCTGATCCCCTGCAGCTCGGATACCACTGTGCTGATGTCGGGACGAGACCGGGCGGCAGGGGCGGCGCAGCGGGCGGCGAGGCGGGCGAAGGAGCGGATGGGACGGAATGGCATGGACTGGGCGGCTATGGAAGGGTCGAGCACTGTAGCAAGATCGTCTGTTGCTATGCTGTGTAGAATCTGGGAGCGAGGAGTGGTGGAACAGGTAAGGGGAGAGCGAGAGAGAGGAGGATAAGTACGGTGAACGTGGCCACTTGCAATGTTGTTTCAAGAACCTTAGAAAGTGTATGAGGTGCATGGCTTCATTATGAAACGTGAAGCATGTGGTGAGTCACTTGGTTGGAGCGGAAGTAATACCGTAGTAGCAACCACTGGATGCGCGGTCGGAAGGAAAGACGGCATAAGCTCACCTAGAGATACCTAGGGTGGGGGAGGGCACACCTGGTGCAGGTCGAAGGTGGTGGTGCTGGCAGTGGCTTGGTCCGTGGTGGTGGTGGCTGGGCAGCCTGAGAGCAGCTCGAGCATGATGATGCCCAGGCTGGCGGGGCGGGGCAGAGAGCAAGAGGTGAGGCGTGAGAGACGTGGGGTTAGTGAGTAGCCACGTGTAAAAAGTGAATTTTTGAGACGTCTCAAAAATTCACTTTTTACGAGTAGAAAATATTTGCAGCGCCTCACGAATGTCCTTGTGGTTGGCTGGGCAGCCTGAGAGCAGCTCGAGGCATGATAATGCCCAGGCTGGCGGGGCGGGGCAGAGGGGAAAGAGGAGAGGGAGGCGGGAGTGTTAAAATAGGTGAGAACGGAAGCTACTGCACGTATGTACTGCTCTGTGCAACTATACGCACCACTGGTAACTTCAATCGGAGAGTCCAATTTGAATGGGCATTGCGGAAGCCATAATGCTGCACCCATATGCACCACTAGGAACCGCATTGGGGAAGCACGAGGAAGAAGACAAATATACCCACCCATAGATGTCGGTGCGGGTGGTTGGCCACATGCGCTCCCACCAATCCGGGTCCCTATGAGGAGCTGCCACGTGGCACTGCTGAAGTAAGCAGGGAGAGCTGGGTAGGCCCTTGATAATGCCGAGATTCGCCAACCGGGCCTGCAAGGGGTGACGACACATAAGTGAAAAAATGTTGTGCACCGTATTCATGTGTATATCTGAATGTATAGAGAGGGAAACATCATAACTCTTGCACGCACTCACCACAGGCAGCACTTCAAGGAAGACAGAGGAGGAGCAGAGACCGCGGAGCACCAGGGGGGGCTGAGCAGCTGTGTGCAGATGGCACAGCGCTTCTGCCACAGCCGTGGCTATGTCCAGGCGCTGAGAGAACGCTAGCGGTGGGGGGGACTGTGCGTCTGGTGTGAGGGGAGGGGAGGGGAGGGGGAAGGGAATGCGGTGAGTAGCGCATCGGGCCCACATGAGGAAGGGCTGCTGCGATTTCTGTGCCTGATGACTGGCCTTCTTGCATCCCCTTTTGGGCCTTCTTGCATCCCCTTTTGAGGCGCCTAAAAAATGACTGGCCTTCTTGCATCCCCAAACCCCAAACCCCAGACCCCAGACCCCACTACGAATCATCCTTTTTGTGCAAGATCCACACAAAGGGACGTGAGTGCTTACCACTGTCCCTGCCCTGTATGATCAACTCCCTCTGTGTCTGCAAGCGAGCACACAGTGTTTTCTGGTCTGACCACTCGTACAGCAGCAGCAGCTCCCTCCCTTCCTTTCCTCTATAATTACAGAACGACAACGCTCTTTCATCAGGAGGATGTGCGAACTCACCGTTGTCCCTGCCCTGTACCATCAACTCCCTCTGTGTCTGCAAGCGAGCACACAGTGTTTTCTGGTCGGACCACTCATACAGCAGCCGCAGTTCCCTTCCCGCTACTACCCTCTAACTTCAGAACGATAGCACCCTTTAGGATGTGCGTACTCACCGCTGTCTCTTCCTTGTATCATCAACTCCCTCTGTGCGTGCAAGCGAGCACACAGTGTTTTCTGGTCTGACCACTCATACAGCAGCAGCAGCTCCCTCCCCCCACCTCCTCTCCCTCTCACTGATGCCGACGCCGGTTCTACCCCTGCTCCTGATCCTGATCGTGCTGCTTCTTCTGCTCCTCCTCCTGCTACTGCTGATGTTCCTGCTTCTGCTCTCCCTCCCCCAGCCTCTGCCTCCCACACCCCACAGCCTGCCTCCTCCCCACCCGGTTCTGGTGCGCACTGGGTTCGCCTCACCCTCCCGTTCCTCCCTTCCCTCACAATCTCCACGCCCTTCCCGCCCTTCCCTTCCTTCCCCGCCCCCTCTCCTCCTACCTCCACTCCACAATCAGATGAAGCAGCATGTTGATCACCTGCCTTCCCTCTCTTCCCCCTCTCCTCCCTTCCCTCCTCTCCACCTGCCGTCCCCACTACTCTGCCTTGCGTCCCTGCTTGCCCTAACGCCTCACCCTCTGCTCGCCCTGAGCCGTCACCCTCACCCTCGCCTCGCCCCGACCCCCCACCCTCTCCGCGCCCCGACCCCGCACCCTCCCCCTGCTCCTGCGCGCCCCTCTTCCGCCACAGTATCTGCGCCCACTGCCTCATGCTCTCCCCCACTTGCCTCAGCCGCCTGCTGCCGCCCGCCTGCCCCAGGGGTTGGTCGCTCCAGCCAATCAGGTGCAGGAGGTGGGGGTGCGACAGACCTGAGAATCGGTTGATCTGCCGTGTGTGGGTTGGTGTGCGATGGGCATGTGCGGGTGGACACATGTGCGGGTGAATGCCGGGGAGTTGACGTGAAAGAGGTGAAAGGTGAGAGGTGAAACAGGATGGGAGATGGAATGTTGACCTTCAAAAAAATGGGACTCTTTCAGATTCACTCCTCCTATCACTCACTTCCTCGTTAAACGCTCTTCTCTTGGCAGCTGCACCAGTCCAAGGCAGCCACGTGGCACCTGCCAAACCATCAGGTATGGTGGTCCGAACCACAAGCCAAGGCTCGCCCTCTGGTCCGGAGCACGGGAAGGAGTCTCCAAAAGGACCCGAACCAAGCTGAGAGGTGGAGTGGGGAAGGTATGTGGACCGGGGGAAAAGAAGAACTACAGGGTGTTGGTGGGAAGGTGGAGAGATATGGAGAGGGGTACCAATGGGTGATCAGCAGTGCGGGGAGGTGGAGAGGCAAAGGCAAATACTGCAACAAGGATTTGAAGGTGAGTGAGTGAATGCAGGAGGGAGTGAGTGAATAGGAAGTGCGGGAATGAGTGAGTGAGAGCGTGGTGCAGAGGGACCGAGCGAGAGGGTGTGTGCAGGGGAAAGGGAGGGGAGGGGAGGGGAGGGGAGGGGAGGGGAGGGGAGGTATACCTTGAGAAGAGGGTCGTAGTGGTGGGTGGAGCAGGCGATGTAGTCTGCAAGAAACACCTCATCGAAGCTGCTCTCTGCTCTCCTCACTGCAAATAGAAAGTGATCCATTGCCATGCCATGCCATGCCGCGCCATGCCATGCGGCATCATGCAATACATGACACATGGCAGCGCATGGTAGCACACCAGCAACCATGACCCATGACACGGAGAAGCGTCAGGAAGTGCCACGGTGGTGAGGCAAGGAGGAGCAGCATCATAAAAACCTTGAAACCACAACCGTGTGACACAAGTAACCAGGTTACCAGACGCAGCAGCGGTTGGGCTTACCAGAAACAGCAGTGCATGGGGGACCGCACCTTGTCGACAGCACATGCAGAAACAGAAACAGATGCTGGCTATAACGAGGATGATTGCAGCACAAAGGATCGTGGCGAGGAACGATATTCGCGACAGCAGACGGCTGCTCCAGCCACCTGACAGGTGCGCAGGGGCGGGGAGAGGGGGGGGGGACGGAGGGGGTCTGTTTTTGAGGCGTCTCAAAAACAGCAGCACACGATGCGAGGAACGATATGAGAAGAGGGTGCGGCTGCTCCAGCCATCTGATAGGGTGGGGCGCGGGAGGGGAGGGGAAGGAGGCGGGACGAGAGAGGAGAAAGAGGTAAATGGGAGGGCGGGATAAAGGAGGATAGCTGGGAGGAGCAGTTGAAAAGCGAAAAGGGGACAGCGCGCATGCTCGGGGAGGGGGAGAAGAACACATATATGGGGGAGGGGGCAGCGCGCATGCGCGGGGATTGGGGGCAAAGGGAGCTTGCGCGGCGGATGGGACTTGCCAGGCGGCGAGGCGGGCGATTCTTGCAGCAGACGACGCGAGACGCGTTGAAGAGCGACGATGGAGTGATGCGCGCCAGGCGCGAGAGGCGGGAGACGTGCGAGAGGGGAGTGAGGCGCGAGAGGGGAGTGGGGGGAGTGAGCCGCGAGAGGGGAGTGAGGGGAGTGAGGCGCGAGAGAGGAGTGAGGGCACGGCGCGCACGGGAGGCTGCTGCTACTGCCACGACTGCTGGCATCTCCCAAGACGGCGACTACGACGAGTAGCGCTACTAGGGCCGGCGGCTGCCTGGTTAGACGAATGTGCCTGCTCCAGCAAACAACGCGGCGGCGCCAGCGCACCCCGCCGGTGCGCAGAGTCGATATTTGAGGCGTTTCGAGAATCTGCGAGCGCACTCCGGTGTGCACGGCGCGCGGGGCGGTGCGAGCTGCGCTGTTACGTTCCGCTGATGTGCCGCTCAGTGCGACGGCCGAATCTAGCTCCATTACCGCCCGGGAAATCTCGTACGTTCAATAAATATCTTAAATCCTTGAAGCCTATTTATGAGCAAGATGCTTCGACTCGGGATAATTTACATGGGACCCTGGCGAACCTTGTCTGCGGCATTTCTGTGTCCTTAGCAGATCGGGACATGAAAAGATTCTGACTAATTAGAAGAAACCACGCAACGAGTTTCGGTATAGCAATGACGGTGACATGAAGACGCGAAGAGCGGCGGAGGCTGCTGTGTCTAGGAACTTTGTTTCGGACTTCTGAATATGGTTCTCAAATCCAAGTACGGAGCACGTCTAAGGGAGGGATTCCTGGCCTAGAACCATCAACACGGATAATTGTTTGACACCATGCCGCGTTGCACCGTGAAGATCAATCAATGGCTTCAACCCATCCGAACCCATCCCCCTCCTTTAACATCCCATTCCAGTTTATCGCATCGCATTGCTTTTCATTTACATCGCTCGTTGACTGCAACACCAATAATTGCAACCTCGAGACGCTGCCACTTCACAAACGGTATTTTTGACAGCGGTGCGGAGATTTCTGAAGTGTACGCATACATCCAAACACTGAAAATAACAAGTACCGATACGCAGACTACTTGGTTTACAACTCATGGCCACATGGGAGAAGATTCAACCATAATAAACTTCACATCTTCAGTACAACTGGACATCACAATAATAACCTACACATAGAGAACAAATTTATATCACTTCATGCAATGCATTTTAAACTCTTCCATCAGTTGTTGCCTGCACATGCCAAAAAATAAACATCAGTGCGACCGACCCAAAATTACCAAATGAACCGACTGACCAAACCAAAAAAATCATGCAAATGGATTCCGTTAGCGCAGCAAAAACTCGAACTCTAGGATAAGCAGGAGCCTTACCCTGCAGGTACTGTAGGATCTCAAGCATGCGAATGAAGAGGTTGATGATGTCAAGATAGATGTTGAGGCTTGCCATCACATACTCGTCGTATGAGTACCCTGAACACAAACAGAACAGAACATAGCGGTAGTATGTAAATGCAAGCTCAATCAAAGATATCACTGCAGCCAGGCATAAAAACTAGGGTAATAAGGGATCCAGTTCAAGTACTGTGAGATCAATTCATCGCACAATTGTGTGCGAATAATGCGGTTACTTACGCCTGATGATAAGGTCGGTGTCGTACACAATGAAGAGGGCGAAGATGAGCGCACCCACCAGAGCCAGAGCGAACCTGCACAAGGGGAACACAAACAGGCAGACAAGTAGATAAGCAGGAAAGTGATGCATGAAACTCAACAAGTGCAAGCACTGTCAAGAGCAGCAAGGAGCACAACAGATTTCAGAACAGAATGGAGCGGATACTCGCTTTACGTGAAAGAACACGGACAAAGGTCTGCAAGTGTAACTAACTGACTAGTAATGCAAATGCAGACGCTAAGGTCTGGGTCTGAGACTCACTCGCTGCCAAGGCCCCAGAAGATTTGGATGAAGGACCAGCCGAGCAGCAGCCAGAGGCTGACGTAGAGCATGGGACCCAGGTAGCTGGAACAGGGGGGGGACGAGGGAATTACAAAAGGGAGGGGGATGCACACGGGTGGGAGACTACAAGCGAGAGGTAGCCAGAGATCGGTGTACAGTACAGGGCGCAGGTAGCTAGAAAAAAAGGGAGGAAAGAGAATGGAGAATGGGAACGGGGGGGAGGGGGGGGGGGGGGGGGGGAGAGAGGGAGAGAGAGAAGTGAAGGGAAAAGGGGGGGGTGGAAGAGAAGCTAGAGAGGGGGGGGAAAATCAATGGAGGCAGAAGAGGAATGGAAAACGATCCGAGTGTGTGCGGCAGAGCGAGAGAGAGAGAGTGGGGGCGAGAGAGCACCTGAACTCCTGCCCCTTCTTGACAGCATAGTACGTGTACGCTGTCAGTCCCAGCACCACTGAAGCTGTCAGGCCAAGAGCCTCGACAACTATGGGCCCTGGCGCAGGAAGAAGTGGTGGAAAAACATTGGCAGGTGGGAAGGAGGGCGCAAGAAAACAAGTGAGTTGCAGGAATTTTCTGGCCAGGAATAATCGAGGGCAAGAAAAGCTGAAGGGAGTCTCAGAGCAGACAGAGCAATAGAAATATCGGAATGGAAATGGAACGGAAGGTGCAGGAAACGAGAAGACGTAAAAAAATGGGGGGTGGGGGGGGGGGGGCTTGGGGAGAGGGGGGTTGGTGGGGAGAAGTGGAGAATTGGAGAATTGGGAAGGAGGACAAACAGAGAGGGTTCTGCATGTGTGCTGGAACGAAACGACATGCGGAAAGGACAAACTGCGCTGGAAACAGAAAGGGCAACGGAGCACACAGCGGAACCCACCCATCCCACCTCCTCATCCCATTCCATCCGCCCCTTGATCTGACACACCGTCGGAAACCAAGTGCGACGCTTACCGCTGTACATGCTGCAGATGAGGCCCACGGTCATGCTCATGGACGCCGTCTGGCCGGCCAGATGCACGGGGGGGAGAAAGACGAGAGGGGAAGAAAGAAGTGGAGTGGGAGAGCGGGTGCGGGAAGAGGGGAAGAAGGGAAAAAGGGGAAGAGGGGAAGAAGGGAAAAAGGTGAAGAGGGGAAGAAGGGAAAAAGGTGAAGAGGGGAAGAACGGAAAGAGGGAAGAGGGGGGAGAGCGGGGTGAGTGAGGACAATGAAAGGCGAAAAAAGGGCTCTGACGTCGGACGGAAAGCGCAAAACGAGAAAATAAAAACGAGTCACCAGCGGGAGCCGTAAGCCGTACGCGTAAGCAGGGAACGGCGGAGCATGCACACGAAGTGCCAAGATGACGTACCCAGATTGCGAGCAAGGCCAGGTTGAGAGGATGGCGAGACCGATAGATGACGAGAGGAATGAGCGCTGCACACAGAACAGTGGAAGGGCATACGAGGAAACCGTACGAGGCTCATCGTAAGCAAACAGAGCCGTCCTATCTAGCTAAGAGAAACGACCGTCATATTTTTATGAAGCAGAGAGAGGAGTGAACGTGAATCGAACACTTGCTGGAAGGAGGCGACGGAGAATGAAGAAAGAATGAGAATGAGCGGAGAACGGAAGACGAAAATACACACTGACTGAGGAACGTGGAGCGAGAGGAAAGTACGTACTGGCGAAGGGTAGGATGGTGGCGAAGAACATGAAGTATCCATTGGTGAGGCCGAAGTCGCGGACGGTTGGGATGAGAGCGAAGCACGATCCGACGGCTGCGGTGAGTAGGAGTTGTGCTCCAATGATGCCGTACACCTGCGGAAGTAGAAGAATCAGTGAGCGGATACTACTAAGTGACATGCTTAAGGAACAACAGCGCTATCGCGCGCCTTCGCTTCAGACTATCTTCTACTTCACTGATAGTGCTGCACGATGATCCAACACATTATATTCTGAACGTTGTTACTACAAACGACACATATGCCAGTCGCGTGGACCAGTTTAAAAAACCAGCGTGCAAATGACGTCCACGACAGATACGACGTAAGAAGAGAAACACGCGAATCTGCCGCGAAGAACGCTACTGAATGCAGCATACCTTCCGAATGAATCCCCATCGCATCTCATTCTCGGACGGCGTGATTCCTGGGTAAAGAAGATCGGACGACGGGCCCGCCTCCACGTCATGACCCTGATTCTTCATAAGGTGCGCGTCGACGGCGTGAGCGGCTTCCATGGTGGCAAGAGGTTACTAGAACGAGGGAGAGGCTACGAGGCAAGCAGAAACCCCTAGAACAGGATTCGAACACTAGAACTGAAGCGAGCCTTGAAATTAGTTTCTCAGCTTGATTACTGTTGCTGTTAGGGTTTCATGTCAGCGTTGAGCAAGGTTGGGGGACGCGCGAGGAAGTAGAGCATAGCGGTAACCACACCGCATGGTATGTTCGCGAGTTGTCATGGGTCATGTCGGTCGTGAATACTCCGTTCCAGCATGGCGGAGATGTGAGTCATGCAACCAATGACCATCATCGAAGCGGCGTTTGCTTGGACGGCACGGTTCGTCGAGCTTCTGGCACGGTAAAGCTCCCCCTCAGCATCTAAATTTCGGCATTGTACACTTCATATTTCCCAATCTACAATTTTAGGGACGTTATCATGAAAAGCTATCAGATTGTATTGCAAAGAAAAATCTAATTACAATACCCGGCCATCCATTCCATCAAGTGGGCCAGCCCACATTCCCTTCATGGGGGGTAATTGAGCAGCGATCACATTCCACGGCGGATATCCCACTCCACTAGCTCGAACACGCCCATCTAGCCGTAGAGAAATGTACCTGCCAGAGTAAATTTCGTGGAGGTTAGTTAGTGTAGTGAGCTTAGGAAAGGTTGGCAGACACATAATAGGAATGTAAATATTGAAAAAAAACAGGAAAAGATAGACATGTGGACTTACACTGGAGATCCCGGAGCCACATTGGCGAACTTCATTTGCTCCTTCAACCATCTGCACAAAGCAAAACAGAGCAATTAAACAACCAATGCAACGTGACAGGTTTCTGGCTGCATACCCATGAATGCCTGCAATTCTCACCTGTTCCATTCATCAGTGTAAGTTGGCCGGCCCATCCACCTCTGAAGCAACCCAGTGGCAGCTGTAGCAGCTTGTGCAGTACCACCCAGCTCATCCACCTTTCCCCTACCACCGCCATCCCCAGCCACTTCACCCCCCCAAGCAGGGTCCACCACCTCCGCAAACCCTTTAAAATCCCCAGGCAGCACAACATTTTCTAAAGCTGCCGCCCCTGCTTCAGCACCCACAGTCACAAGCGGAGCTACCACCACTGCTCGCTCCAGCAGCGCAGCACGGTACGGCTCGGCGGCAGCGAGGGCGTTTTGCACATGGGAGAGGGGGCCAGCGACGATGATGAGGCGGCAGGAGCCCTGCAGCTGGGCCAGGCTGACAATGCGCCCCGTGGGCAGCTCCAGGCGCAGCTTTGCCAGGTTCTCTTCCCGAGTCAGCCGGTTCAGAGATGCGTCTTTGCCCCGCGCATCCGACCTTGGAGTGTGGGGTGGGAAGGGATGGGGACAGGGACAGTTTTGGGTCGACTCCGAGCCCTGCAGCTGGGCGAGACTGACTGACAGTACGGCTTGGCAGCAGCAAGAGCTGCTTGCACGTGGGAGAGGGGGCCGGCGACAATGATGAGGCAGCAGGAGCCTTGCAGCTGGGCGAGGCCGACTATGCTATATGCGAAGCTCTAATTGCAGTTTAGCAGTCTTTTAGATCCCTTGATAGCTAGGTACATTCGTTTTGTTCCCTTTTCAACCCAGCATTCGTCTAGATGTTTAGTTGGATTCTTCCTTCTTCCTTTTTCAACCCAGCTTTCCATTTCCCCATGCCTCACCGGTACAGGAACGCGAATATAGCGACAGCCGCCACGTCAATCCCGAGGTCCTTGAGCGAGTCCTGAATCTGCAGCGCGTCCGCGTCGCGCGCGCCCGTCGCGATGGCGAGCAGCGACGTGGCGGTGATGAGCGCGCCGACGGACGCGGACGCGATGAACGCGCCGTACAGGAACATGCGCACCGTGCGGAACGGGTTCAGCACCTCCTGCCGCATGCGCGCCTCCTGGCTGCGCAGAACGGGGGCGGGGAGAAGAGCGGGGAGGGATGCGAGGTTACGGCGCAAGCAGGAGGTAGTTTGAGGGGCGAGGGGGGAGGCGGAAAGTGGGACTGAAATCGGCATGCGGCTGGAAATGTTCACATTCTTTTATAAATTTCACCAATGCAAGAAGGCGTTCCACCAATGCACGCATTCATCCCACCAGAGCCCGCACGCTCGTACCTGTACTCTTTCCGCTCCTCCCTGCTGTCGCCGTTCGACCCGCTGGCTCGGCACGGCACCGCGCGCCGCTGCCGCTCCACGCCATGGGCGCTGGAGGGGGAATGCGGAAGGTGGCGAGCGCGGAGCGGCAAGAGCAGCGAGCGGTCGAGCAAAGGCGCGACTGGCGGTGACTGATGCTGCTGCGGGTGCGCGTGGTGCGCGTGGTGAACGAGAAGACTTCTGGTTGCGACATAGCGAGGTTGAGAGCGGTTTGAGACGACGACATGAGAGGGTCGCTGTGACGGAAGGGAGCGCGAGAGAGAGGAGGAACAGGAGGAGGGTGAGATGGTGGGGGCTGTGGTGGCTGTTGGGACACGGCTGACAGACAACATCTTGTTTGTGAAATACAACAGTCGGAAGGAAATGCGACGGTAATTAGGCAGTACTGCGGCCGCGAAGGCTGGTTGAGAACGGAGAAGGATACTACGCGACGCAAAACTACGCTGCCGCAGCTTGTGACCTACTTGTGTAAAGACCAGCAATCGCCTGCTTTCTTGCTCTGAAGGGGCAGATTTTGGTGAGGGGTGGATTTGAAGAAGAATGACATTCGGCCTGTGATTGTGGAGAGGTGATTCTGGCAAAGTTTCCACGTGTACATGTTCTGCAAGTGAGTTTTAGTGTCGTGGCGAGCTGTGAGTGCTCCATGTGCATCGCTGGAAAGCCAAACAAGATTCAGATGACCGACATGTCTATACCGCGTATGCGTCTTTTTTGCTTTGGAAAGCTGGAGGGGACGTGGAGCTTTCAAGGCGCTTCGAAGTTTCGATTCCCAAGGGCGCGGAGATGATACAGTTCAGTGAAAATACCATAGAGTGTAATCGTGAAAATATGTTCTCGGGGCTGTCGAGTTTGCTATGACCTCTTGCGCGCCGAGCAGAATTTACATGCACACCGTTTTGAAACGCATCCTAAGTCGTAATCCAACCTTTCCATCCCTCTTCAGTTTCATCGAGCCCTCCTTCGTTCTACAGGCCTGCAGAGCAATTTCACTCATTCCGAGGGAATCTCACGAGTGTTCGGCACTACCCTGAAGCATTGCTGTGCTGTGACGTGCCTTGCCGTGCTCAGCATTGCGGTGCTGTGCTGTGGAGGTATGCGCATGGTCGAATCCAGGCAGCCATTTTTCATCGAGGGTTATCAGACTGCACTGCAGTAGCCTTCTTGGTTTGGTGTTGTGAAATCACATTTCCAACTCGTCACCTACTGCAATCTTGTCTCTTTTACAAGTTCCAGATTTGGCTCTCTGTTGCCACTAAAAGATTATTGCGCACGCGAAGATTCAGGACATCAGCTTGGCAATATACTAAGAATACATTGAAGGCCTGTCAGCCATGGCGAGTTCCGCCCTTGCGCAGTCTGCATTAGCAACGTCAGGGATCCAGCACGCTTCTGGCATTCTCCTCGCGACTCGCTGTAGAAATGACGGCTCGACCATAACTCCAGCTCGAGTCGCACACGTGTCAGCCCGTCACCGCAACCACCTCCGATCAGACCTCCTTCCAGGAAGCATCTCCGCGCTTCGGTTCTCCACTTCCGCTTTCCCCGTTCATCGCTCTACGTCGTCTCGCTTCGTTACGGTCACATCCGTTTTAGCGAAGGATGACGTCGTTGCGACAGGCGATGACAGCGGGTCGCAGGCTCAGCAGAGTCGCACGGAGTCGTTTTTGCTGGCGGTAGAAGAGGGAGAGAAGCGTGTTAAGGAGCTGGAGGGTAAAGTGGACGCGAAGCAACGCGCGCTGGAGCAACTACAGGTATATTTACTCATCCAATATAGTCACACACGCTCCCTTACTTCAACTCCCTTCCAGTTGTCCGTAAGAGATCTATAGGTATCCAGATTTTTGTTTGTTTGTTTGTTTGTTTTTCTAATTTATTTATTTATTTATTTTCGCTGTGGAAAAATAAGAAAATGCGAGCTTGAGTTATTAGTCCCCGTTTCTCATGTCGCCGTCATGAACTGCAGGCTGACATTGACAAGCTCTATTCCGAGACGTTCTCTGGCGTGGCGATTGCACCAGAGGCATCACGAGCAGGCGAACAGGAAGTGAAGGAGGAAGAGAAGGAGCAACAATCTGCTGCTGCTGATGACGTTCCCCCGCGGGTGTTTGAGAGCATGGATGAGGAGGCGTGGGGCAATCTGGGCCGTTCAGAGCCATCCGTGCTGAAGGCTCTGATTGGTGAGGCGGAGGAATCGTACCGCTGAAAGTTCACTGGCTTCATCGCTTGTACCAGACGCGGAATCGAGCTTAGAGCATCCATCCACGATCTACTCATAATGACCTTTCAGCTTGGGGGCAAGAACGTCAACACAGCTATGTAGCATGCCGAACAGAAGCACTGACCTTGTTTGAAACACCATCGACTGAAAAATTCTGCATACTGCACGAGTTTGCAAAGGCGGCTAGCTCATCCCTATGTGCACAGGATGTTTCTACTCGGTCATGGGACGAATTTCATTCAGTTTTTATAGTGCGGGATATGGTCATGCTTCACTCGTGCACTCTCTAACTCCTTCCGTCCCTCACTCACTCCCCCACTCCCACACGTCAGAGTCGGTGGACCGGTCCAAGTGGACAGCCTTCCAGCGGGAGGTGCACAGCTTGGCGCTCAGGCGCGATCGCACACGGCAGGAGCTCAGGGCGCTCCTGGACCAGCTGGATGAGGCCTGCACTGCCGCTGCTGCTGTATGACCCTCCTCACACTCCACTCCTATCTCGCTCCCTCCCTCCCTTCCCCCCCCCTTTTCGCTCCATCCTCTCCCTCTCTCCCTCCCTCCCATCCCATGCTCTAAATTTCCACTTCGCTCGTCCTTTGTTTGCTGCTTTCCCCGACGTCTCATGCCATACAGGTCGTTTTTATGGCTCTAATATCTGTGTGTGACGCTCCTCCTCCTGGGCCGCACGCAGTTAGAAACGGCTGCTGCCATTTCCTTTGACCCCCGTGCCTATTCCACCCCTACTGCATCTCCCCTCCTCACACTGCATTCTCTTGTCCCTAAACTCCACCCTCACATTCTCCCCTCCCAACCCCACTGCCTTCGCCCAACCCCCACTGCCCCTACCCTCCACTGCCTTCCCCCGGCTCCGCTGCACCCCCACTTGCCTTCCCGTCTCCCGTCGCCCCCACCCCGTCCCTCCTGTGCACAGCCCATGGAAGAAGCATCATCAGCGTCTGACTCAGATGCGGAGGGTCCAGCGGCAGTGATCCCGGGGCTGGGCGCGAAGGGGGAGCGCAAGGTGGCGAGCATAGTGCTGGTGGCGGGCTTTGAGTCGTTCAACGTGGCGCTCTACAAAGAGGCTGCCACCCAGCTGCGTGCGAAATGCCCTGGTGCGCAGGGTGTGGACGGGGGGGGGGGGGGATGGGATGCAAGGTGGCGAGCATAGTGCTGGTGGCAGGGTTCGAGTCGTTCAACGTGGCGCTCTACAAGCAGGTCGCGGCTCAGCTGCGCGCCCAGTGCCCTGGTGCGTGCTTAGGGGAGGGGAAGGGGGCGGTGTGGTGGGATGGGTTGCAGGGTGGTGGCGACCACGGTGGTTTGATTCGTTCAACTTCGCGCTCTACAAGCAGGCCGTCGCCCAGCTGCGCGCTCAGTGCCCTGGTGCGTGGATGCGCAGCTGAGGGTTGGGCGGGGATGTGGAGTGGATGTGGGGGAGATGCATCACAAGGGTCGGGTGGGGGGAGTGGGATGCAACAAGGATTGAGATTGGGCAGCAGGGTTAAGGATGTGGCTATGAGAGAGTGCGTGAGTGTCAGTGGTTCTGATTCGTGCCCTGCTTTTCACATGCGCGATGATCTAATTACGCTTCTTTCACTACTGTCCCGTGCAGGCATCCGTCTCTCTGTCTTCTCCAATCAGGACATTCTCTCCAAGAGCAGAGAGGTGCGTCAACAATCCAATGTTTGCTCCAACTGCTTTTGTGTGCTGCTGCCTCTTCATGTGCTGCTCTGCACTAACACATGCCAGCTACAGAATTGACTCCACTTCCTAGACCAGTCCTATTGTCAACCCCCTCAACATCCAATCGCTCCCTCTCTCTCGTCGTGTGCCGCGTGCGTGTGCATGTGAGCATGGCAGATGGAGGCAGCACTGGCACGTGCAGATGTGTTCTTTGGCAGCCTTATCTTTGACTACGATGAGGTGCGACTATCATCACAGGTCTTCAATGCAATAACCTATTAATACAACTTCGAGTTCCACTCAGACACACCTGTCAACCGGTTTTGCCTCTAGCAGTAAGCCCTCTTGTTCAAGGCTCCTTCCTGTTCTCCATATTCTGCCCCACCTGTGGTCAATAGTAACCAACCAGCCGTCCCGTAACTTCTGCACTCTTCCCCCTCTACCACATGTCGCCCCCCATCCCCCTTCTTCTTCCCGCACACCGCTCACAGTGCGAGTGGCTGCAGCAGCGCATCAAGAGCATCCCCATCCGCCTCATCTTCGAGTCCTCCCTCGAGCTCATGGCCATGACCACTCTCGGCAGGTACCCCTAGGCTGTCTACCCCCCGCATGGCTGCATGCATGGCTGCATGCATGGCTGCATGCATGGCTGCATGCATGGATGCATGCACATGGTGTAAGGTGTATGGTTCCCCCATCTCCTCAGCCCTCCCTCGAGCTCATGGCCATGACCACTCTCAGCAGGTACCATACCTCTAGGGCCTCTAGGACCATGACATCTCTACACTACACACCATGCATGCATCGTATTAAAGAGTGAAGCATACCTCACATACCGCCTAAGGGGTGTGGTGGGGGTGGGCTGACCAAGAACAGCTCCAATGTCGCGCCTCTGTTTACTTCCTTCCCTGCCCCCTCCCCTCGCTGCCCCTCCCCTCGCTGCCCCTCTCCCCGCTGCCCCTCTCCCCGCTGCCCCTCTCCCCGCTGCCCCTCCCCTCGCTGCCCCTCTCCCCGCTGCCCCTCCCACCCCTTGGCCCCCCCAGCTTCGCCATGGCAGGAGGCAAGAGCAAGGGGATGCCAGCCCCGGTAAAGGCCGTGCTCTCTAAATTCGGCGGGGGGCGGGAGGAGGACCGCATGGTGGGGTACCTGAGCTTCCTCAAGATCGGCCCCAAGCTGCTGCGCTTCATCCCGGGCAAGCGCGCCCGGGACCTGCGCAACTGGCTGACGGTGTACGGGTACTGGAACCAGGGCGGGCTGGCCAACGTGGTCAACATGTTCCTGTACCTTGCGAATGAATACCTGCTGTCCACTGGCATCACTGCGTCTGCTCCTGTGGAGACCCCCCCACTTGGGCTTTACCATCCTGACTACGGTGAGTTGACTTGATCCCGTCCTAGACTGGTCAACGTGGTCAACATGTTCCTGTACCTTGCGAACGAGTACCTGCTGCCCACGGGGATTACTGCCGCTGCTCCTGTGGAGACCCCACCCCTTGGGCTGTACCACTCTGACTATGGTGAGTTGACTTGGGAAACTTTGTGTGCGTGCGCACCCTGTCTGATGGCTGGCTTCTTCACTCACCCCTTGCTGCCAGCCACCGTACATCCCACGGCTCCTCTTCCATTTCCCAGCAAGCATTCCAGTTCGAGGTGACTTTTGAGTCGACTCAAAAGCAAGCATTCCAGTTCTCCTCCTTTCATATAACCCTCTCCCATCCATCTCCCCCACCTTTCCCGCCCTCCCCAGACGGCTACTTCACCTCCCCCAGTAAGTACCTGCGCTGGTTCCGCTCGTCCCATAAGAGCCTCCCCCCATCGGCGCCAGTGGTGGCGCTGCTGCTGTACCGCAAGCACGTGGTGACGCAGCAGCCGTACATCCCTCGCCTCATCCGCATGCTGCAGCAAGCCGGGCTGGTGCCGCTGCCCATCTTCATCAACGGAGTGGAGGCACACACGGTGGTGAGGGACCTGCTCACCACGGCGTATGAGCAGGAGGAGAGGAGGAAGGGCGTCGTTATGACTCCCTCACTCTCACAAGATGCTGTGATGGTTGATGCTGTCGTCAGCACCATTGGTGAGCCATGTGCCGTGTGATTTGCACTGTGCGTGTGCGCTTGCACGCTGCCCACTCGCTCTCTGTGCTTCGCCCCATGTCTGAACCCACGTTTCTTCACACCTGTCTCCTCTGCTGCGCACTGCAGGTTTTCCATTGGTGGGAGGGCCAGCGGGGTCCATGGAAGGTGGCCGCCAGGCCGAGGTGTGTATTTTCTCCAAAGATGCGCCCTTGCTCTACTCCCTCGCCTCTTCCTCCCTCTGCATTATCCCTTTCCGCTCTGTTCTTCTCATCAGTTCCGCTCACTCTGTTCTCTCCTCTTGTCATCTTCCTCATTGCCCTTTCCTCCACGCTGTTCCTTTTACTCACCCCTTCCAACCCCCCCCCCCCCCAGGTTGCCAAGTCCATTCTTCTCGCCAAGAACGTGCCCTACGTGGTGGCAGCACCACTGCTCATTCAGGACATCCCCAGCTGGAAGCGCGATGGCGTGCAGGGCCTGCAGTCAGTGGTGCTCTACTCGCTGCCGGAGCTGGACGGGGCCATTGACGCCGTGCCCTTGGGAGGGCTCGTGGGCGACGGCATTCACCTGGTAGGCTGGGGTTAGACAGTATGCTATGCATGCGCCAGGTAGGCTGGGATTTCCTGGTAAGATGCGTTCACATGGCACACGGCTGCAGTCAGTGGTGCTCTACTCGCTGCCGGAGCTGGATGGTGCCATTGACGCTGTGCCCCTGGGAGGCCTTGTGGGTGATGGCATTCACCTGGTAGGCTCCTGTTGGTGCACCTGGGTTCATCTGGGTTCACGTTGGTTCAACTCGTTTCACCTGGTAAGATGCGTTCACCTGGCACAGGGCTGCAGTCAGTGGTGCTCTACTCGCTGGCTCAGCTAGACAGTGTCATCGATGCTGTGTTCCTAGCGATGGCATGCACCTGGTAGGGTCCCTTCGTGCTGTACAGCTTCCCTCGTTCCCCCCTGCCGCACTCCCACTCTTACCACCCTGCCACCGCAGGTGCCAGAGCGAGTTCGACGTCTGACCTCGCGCCTGTGGAGTTGGATCAACCTGCGGCGCACAGCAAGAGCAGAGCGCAAGGTGGCCCTCGTGCTGTACGGCTTCCCGCCTGGCGTGGGCGCCACTGGTACTGCTGCCCTGCTCAACGTGCCCAAGTCACTGGAGGCGCTGCTGCGGAGGATGCACGCAGAGGGGTGAGCTGCTGACTCAAGTGCCATAGCATAGCACAAGAGGCTCTTATGCACCATGAGACTCTCAAGTGCATTGCCTGCATGCACTTGCATCTCCTCGACGTCCTCAAGTCGCCAAAGCCAATTCTCCAGTGCATGCATGCAGAGGGGTGGGTGAAGAGAGCCCTTTTGGGGCTTCTTGAGTCAGGTGGCGTACATAATACATTGAATTGAACTGAATGGTTTTTGAGGCTCCTCAAAAGTTGAACTGAATGGTATGGATTGTGAGAGGAGAGCAGTGAGAGGGAAGCGGGGCGAGGAGATAGCTGAGCTGCTGAGTCAAGTGGCGTGGAGCAGCAGACGACGCGCATGATCCATACACGCTGGCTGGCGCAGCTGGTTCAACTCAATTTCAACCGGCACACCACTTTCTGTCCTCGTCCTTTTAACTGTTACGCCCTTCCCTGCCCCTCCTCTCCCCACCCTAGTTTTGAGGCGCCTCAAAACACAATTTCAACCGGCACACCACTTTCTGTCCTCGTCCTTTTAACTGTCACGCACTCCCCTGCCCCTCGTCACCCCACCCTCCCCTGCACCCCTCTCCATCCACCAGCTACGACCTGGGCCCAGCAGGAGAGGCAATCTCACAGGGCAAAATCAACGGTGAGGATCTGATCGCGCTGCTGCAGGAGCTGGATGCGGACAGGGTGGTGTCAGCGGGGGAGAAAGGGCCCGAGCTGGCACTCAAGGCGGTGAATGAGAAGCTGCAGCGCAGCGAGGACGGCCCCAGGAGCATTCCCGAGGGTGTGGTGCCCGTGGCTGATTGCATTGACTGGCGGCAACTGAGGGACTGGATCGGGTGAGTGGGGAGCGGCAATGCCCGCTTGAGCTTGGGGTTGAGGCTCTGAAATTGCTCAGAGGTTACGGTCGCTCTCTCATCTCCTGGTTCTCCTCCTGGTTCTTGGTGTGTGGCAGGGAGACCCTGACGGGGCGAATGGAGAGGGCGTGGGGCGAGTTGAGGAAGATCCGATCCATCCACTGCGACTCGGAGGGCAGGAGCGTTGTCAGCGGCATTCAGCTCGGCAACGTGTGGTACGTGCGGTGCAGTGCCGTGCAGTGCAACGCGGTGCAGTGCGGTGCAGTGCAATGTGGTGCAGTGCTGGGCAGTGCGGTGCTCCCAAGGTTCTCACTCCTCAACTTACCCACGCCCCCTTTTCCACTGTGCCCCAATCATTCTTCTCCTGTCCTCTCCTCCCATTCCACTTCTCTTCTTCTCCCACCACCCCCTGCCCTGGTTGGCACTGTCCTGGCAGGATCGGAGTGCAGCCAGTGCGGGGGCTTGAGGGAGACCCTTGATGTTTGAGTGATTATTCATATCCTCTCCTCTCCTCTCCATTCCACTTCTCTCCTCTCACCACCCCCGCCCTCGGTGCATGGCAGGATCGGAGTGCAGCCAGTGCTTGGCTTGGAGGGAGACCCCATGCGCCTACTCTTTGAGCGTGACCTCACTCCCCACCCCCAGGTACCTCTTCCTTGTGCTGTCACTGTTCTTTCTTATGTGCAATTTTCTCCCGTTCCTTTTCTGCATTTACCCCTTGACACTTCATTCATGGTATCATCCCGCTGACCATGCGCTGACTTCAACCCTCTGCTGTCCCGCTACTAACCCCCCCCCTCCCCCCTCCCCCCTCACCAACCCCTGTCCTGTCCCACCATCCCACCACCCCTGTGCTGTCCCACCAACCCACTGCTGTCCCGCCTGCCATTCCCCCACCAGTACGCGGCCTTCTACAAGTGGTTACAGCAGGGCATGCAGGCGAATGCGGTGGTGCACTTCGGCATGCACGGCACTGTGGAGTGGCTTCCTGGCAGCCCACTGGGCAACACAGGTATGGGAGTGTGAGAGCGAGGGCATGGGAGCATGAGGAATGGCATGGAAGGAAGGGCAGGGGTATGGCATGCAGGGCGAAAGCCATGCAGGCGAATGTAGTGATGCACTTTGGCATGCACGGCACCATAGAGTGGCTGCCTGGCAGAGGGCTGGGTTATAGGGCATGGTGGGGCATGCCTGATTTGGTATTGCACATGCACATGTGCGCACATCCATCTGTCTCCCATCCCGTCCCTCTTCCCGTCCCTCTGCTCCCTCATCCCTCATTTTTCATCCCTTCCCCACACTCCCTCTTCCCTTGTCTCCCCTGCCTTGTACTCCCATCTCGTCCCTGCAGGCCTGTCTTGGTCCGACGTCCTGCTGGGAAATCTCCCCAATATGTGAGTCTCACACTCCCACCTTCCACACTCCCAACTTCCACACTCTCACCGTTTAATCCACCTTCATCTCAAATTTGGTTCCTCCTCACTCGCACCTCCACATTCCCCTCCTTCCCCACTGCTGCCTGCCCTCCATGCACCCTCCCCACCCCCCCGCAGCTACATCTATGAAGTCAACAACCCCTCTGAGTCCATCGCGGCCAAGAGGGGGGCAGAGGTGTTGTGCCTTAGCGTCAATCCCCCCCAACATGTGCTGCTCTCCTCCTGCCTGCTCCCTCCTCCCCATCCCCATCAGCTACATCTATGCGGCCAACAACCCCTCAGAGTCCATTGTTGCCAAAAGGCGCGGCTACGGCACCATTGTGTCGTACAACGTGCCGCCCTACGGCAGGGCAGGGCTGTACAAGGAACTTGCTGGGCTAAGGGAACTGGTGAGTGGTGAGGTGCCCTGAACCTCTCATGTCTCACGGTTTCCCCCATAGTCTTTTGCTGTCTCCTTACATTGACCGTCTCTGACAGGACAGTGGCGTCACCCATACATTTTTCGGTTTTACCGCCCATGCCTCATCTGCTGTGTGCAGATCTCAGAGTTTCGGGAGGACCCAGCAAAGAACGAGTCTCTCAAGCCGGCCATAGTGGGGGCGCTGGTGACGGCGGGCATGCAGGCAGACTGCCCCTTCGTGCCCTCCGATGGGTCTAGCAATGGAGAGGCGGTGTTTCTGGACGAGGAGAGCATCAAGGGGGTGTCTGAGGCGGAGTTTGAGAAGTACCTCGTGAAGCTGTATGAGTACCTGGTGTGTCTGAGTGAGGGAGGAACTGAGCGAGTGAGGGTGTGAAGAAGTGAGTGAAGGGGTACGAGGATGAGGGAGTTGCTGAGGCAGCACGCTTCTTCCTGCACTACCTTCACAATGTTACCCCTTTCCTTCCAATCCCCTCCCCACAACTGGCTCCTCCCCACCCCCCTTCACCGTACATCCCTGCATCACAGGCGGTGGTGGAGAACCGTCTGTTCTCGGAGGGGCTGCACAGTCTGCTGTTCCACTCCACTCCCATCTCTGCCTCAACCCCTTTCTGCCCAATTTCCCTCCCCCAATCACCGTTCCCCACCTTTCTCTCCCATCATTGCACATCCTTGCATCCCAGGCGGTGGTGGAGAACCGTCTGTTCTCGGAGGGGCTGCACAATCTGGGCCGTCCGCCCAAGGAGGAGCAGATGGAGCAGTACCTCTCAGCCTACTTCGGGGATGACCTGGACGACACGGCTATCGAGGCAGTCGCTCACACGCATGGGGACCTGGCTGAGGTGTGTGCTGGAGGGTGGGGAGTTGGTGATTGGGGCTGGTGGGGGAGGGGGCATTACCTTGGGAGGAGCAGATGGAGCAGTACCTGTCGGCCTACTTTGGGGATGACCTGGATGACACGGCTGTTGAGGCCGTCGCTCACACGCATGGGGACCTGGCTGAGGTGGGTGGTGAGGTGTGGTAGGGCACTGTTATGGGGGTTGGTGATAGGGGGAGAGCGATGGGGGAGAAGATGGAGCAGTACCTGTCGGCCTACTTTGGGGATGACCTTGATGACAGCCATTGAGGCTGTTGCTCACACGCATGGCGACCTGGCTGAGGTGCGTGCTGACGGGTGGTGGTGTGGGTTGTGCGGGGTGGTGGGGGGTGGTGGAGGATGGTGGAGGGTGGTGGAGGGTGATGATGGGGGATGATGGGAAGAGTGATGAAAAGAGTGGTGCAGAAAGGTAGGGATGGGTGGATATGCAAGGAGCGCTGGGATGAAGCACTGTAGACAGGCTGTTTTCTGAAAACCGCTTTCCGATCACTGTGCCTACCTCTTTCACTTAACCCTTTATAACGTGCCTCTGAGACCATGCCCGCCCCGCCATGCCTGCCCCACCATGCCTGCCCGACAGGTTCGGCAGCGCTTGGAGCAGCTGTACCTGAGGGACGGCGTGGCGCCGCCCGCTCGGGATGCTGAGTTGGATGCACGCGTGGCAGAGGCGGTGAGCATTCGACAGCTGCTGGCGCGCAACACAGAGGAACTCGACAACGTGCTGCGCGGGCTGGATGGTGAGAGTGGTTTACTTCGGTGTGGATGGATGGGGGGAGTATCCAGGTGGTGGAATTGGTGAGCATCTGACAGCTGCTGGCATGTAACACAGGCGAGGAGGATAACATGCTGCATGGCGATGTGGATAACATGCTGCATGGCGATGTGGATAACATGCTGCATGGCGATGTGGATAACATGCTGCATGGCGATGTGGATAACATGCTGTATGGCGAGGAGGATAACATGCTGCATGGCGAGAGCTTGGAACGATGGGGGAGGGGGGCGCTGGACTGTGAGAGCAGAGGAGTATTTTTTAGGGGATTGAGGTGGGGGGGTCAGATGCATGGTGTGAGGGCAGGTGGGACAGGGAAAAGCTGGTCCGCCTAGGCAGGGGGGATGGTGTAGTCGTGTAACTTTAGTCTCAGCCATGGTTGTTTCCCCCATCTCCCTCGCCTGGCCCCGTGTCTGTCCTGTGTGCATGCAGGGGACTACGTGCCTCCTGCTGTGGGTGGTGACCTGCTGCGAGACGGCCCAGGTGAGTCTGCACACACAGAAGGCCAGGTGCGGTGCACGCCCAGGTCAGATATGGATCAGGGGAAGGGGAACGCATGGTTCAGGCTTAGAACCTCTCGCGTCACATCTCCTCCCCACCTCTCTGACTGTCCGTCTGTCCATGCCCCAAGCCACGTGCTCCTCTATACCGGATTGCTATTCCTTCCGCCTCGCCCCTTACCATGTCCCGGGTTCGCTCTTTACTGTTGCCCTTGTCCTGAACATTCCGATACTCTCTGCCTGCTGCGTGCTGCCTGTCCCGTGCTGCCTGTCCTGTCCTGTGCGTGCTGCCTGTCCTGTGCGTGCTGCCTGTCCTGTGCGTGCTGCCTGTCCTGTGCTGTATGCTGCTCTGCAGGAGTCCTCCCCACGGGGCGCAACATCCACGCCTTGGACCCCTACCGAATGCCTTCAGCAGGTGACTACCAACACATGATAATTTCAAAAGCATTTCACATTCGCTGGTAGCAAGCTGTGTCGCCTGTTTCCGCCATGCGGCTCGGCTCGGCATGAGCCTTCCTTGTGTGTGATGATCACATTACCTGGCACTGCCGGGTGTGGTGTCGTGATCAAACGAACGACCTATTGACTGCTTACAACACATTTACACTCTCACTGCTCAATCTGGCTAACGTGCTCGTTGCTGGAGAGTGAGGGACCGAAGTGCCATGTATGCGTGTGTCTGAAATGAACGTGCTTCTTTGCTGCCCCTTCACACCCTCTCATTTACCACTCTTTCATGTCATTCACTTACAACAGAAGACTCTCACTCACTCACTCCCACCACGCTCTCCTGACCTCTCTACTCTCGCTGATCTCATTGCTTTCTCCTCCATCTCCCCAGCGGCATGGGAGAGGGGCAGTGCCATAGCGGCCAACATCATTCAACAGCACCTGGACCAGCACGGCACGTACCCTGAGACTGTCGCTGTCATGCTCTGGGGGCTTGACGCCATCAAGGTAGGCTAGCATGATAATGACAATAAAGATAGTGTTGAAACATCTCAAAGCACGGCACATATCCTGAGACCATTGCGTTGCGGTCATGCACTGGGGGCTTGACGCCATCAAGGTAGGCTAGCATGATAATGACAATAAAGATAGTGTTGAAACATCTCAAAGCACGGCACATATCCTGAGACCATTGCGTTGCGGTCATGCTCTGGGGGCTTGACGCCATCAAGGTAGGCTAGCATGATAATGACAATAAAGATAGTGTTGAAACATCTCAAAGCACGGCACATGTCCTGAGACCATTGCGTTGCGGTCATGCTCTGGGGGCTTGACGCCATTGAGGTTGGTGGGCTTTTAGGTGTGAACGGTGCTCCATCACCAACTCACTCTGCACTGCACGTGCATGCTTACAGTGTTTCTTTCTTCTTCTCTCTTCTGTGACCGCTTTTAAGGCTGTTTCCTCCCTCTTGTCCATGCCAGCTCTTTCTATCAATCATCACGTTCGCCTCGTCCTTAATGCAGGCCCTCGCTCCCCCACCTTGTTCCCTCTCCCTCTCTGCCCCCACCTGCTTGCTGCCTTTCCTGCCCCCATCAGACGCGCGGCGAGTCTGTTGCCATAGCCCTCGCACTCGTAGGGGCTCACCCGGTGAAGGAGGTGAGTGGGAGGGGGGGATGGGAGAAGATGTGAAGTTGCAACACAGAGGACTGAGTGGGGTGGTGGTGTGATTTGGGACGTGCGGCAGGGCATGGGGCGGGCGAGTGATGTGTGACATCATTCTCCTGGAGGCATGTGGGTTTCCTAGCAACCTACAGACATCCTGCCGTGTCATCTTCTCTCACTCCTCCCTGCGTCACTTCACCCTGCCAGGGCACAGGGCGCGTCGTCCGTTTTGACCTCACGCCTCTGGAGCAGCTGGGGCGGCCGAGAATAGACGTGCTGGCGAACCTCTCAGGCATCTTCCGAGACAGTTTCGCCAACGTGGTGGAGCTGCTGGACGACCTGTTCCGGCGTGCAGCAGAGGCGGACGAGCCTCCAGAGATGAACTTCATCCGCAAGCACTCGCTGGCTCTGCAGGTGAGTTCTGAGTCTTCTCTCATGCACTTGCACTTGCTGATTTTCTCCTGTTAACTACAATATAACACTTGCCTTTGGAGTCTCTAACTTCCTTGAAAGCTTATTTTTGGACAGTGCCACCTTCGTTGCTCATGATGTGTGGCCATGCAGGCAGAAGGCATTGACGCATCAACGGCCAGGATCTTCTCGAATCCAGCAGGCGACTACGGATCAATGGTCAACGAGCGCATTGGCGCAGCTGACTGGTTTGTTCCTTACCCTTCGTCCTCCCCTTTCCTCTCACCAAGTCTTACTCCCACTTCCCTTCTTCTACATGTCCCTTCTCCATTTTGCCTTCCAGCAATGACACCATGGAATCCTCTGTGCCATATCCCTACTACTATTTGTGTCCCGCTGTTTGCTGATAACACATGCCATCCGCCTCTCTTCGTGGGCGTGCCTATCACGTGCCCTATTACAGGGAGAACGGGGAGGAGTTGGGGGACACGTGGCAGTCCAGGAACTCATTCAGCTATGGCAGGGGCGAGCAGGGCGTGGCTCGACCAGAGGTACCTACCGTGCTGCTCGATATTTGCTGTTCTTGTACTATGCTTTTGCTGCTCCTCGTGTGCTTCCTCGTGTGTTCTTCTTCTGCTGTTCTTGTGCTGTGCGTTGGCTGTAATTTTCTGCTTATTTCCAACCAGCATATCTCTCTCCGCCCCTGGTCCTTCCTTAGTCTCTTTGACTCACTTCTCAGTCCCTACCCCTTTTTTCCCTCCCCCGCCAGGTGATGCGCAAGCTGCTGCAGACAACGGGTCGGCGAAATACACAGGAGATAGGAAGCGTGGAGTATGGGCTGACGGACATGTCCCAGTCAGTTCCTTGCATCAACTCCTCCACGCACCCTCAACCGCATCCCACCCCACCCCACCCCATTCTACCCCACAACCCACTCCGCCCCCTACCCCTCCCCATCACAAGGTGATGCACAAGCTGCTGCAGACAATGGATCGGAGACATAGACGGCGTGGAGTATGGGCTCACAGACATGCCTCTCCCCATCCCACCCCACCCAACGCCACCCAACACCACCCCTTACCCTCCCAGGTGATGCGCAAGCTCCTCCAGACAACGGACCGCATAGTGCAGGAGATAGACAGCGTGGAGTATGGGCTCACAGACATCCAGGAGTATTATGCCAACACGGGCGCCATGAAGAACGCCGCTGAGACTGCTCGCAATGGGGCCAAGGTAGGTGGTGCACTGCATGCTCCTCTCCCCTGCATGCACAGCATGCTCCTCTCCCCTGCATGCACAGCATGCGCCTCTCCCCTCCCTTCCTATACCTCCCACTCCTCGTGCTGTCTGAAGCGAAACTCCGTCTTGAAAGTCCTCTGCATAACACACAACATGAACCACCCTCCCTGTGTGCAGGTGTTGTGCAGTGTGGTGGAGACGTATGGCAAGGCCTCCAAGGCACGTCAAACAAAGATTTGACCACTCCCGTTTGCCCATTCCGCACCCTCCCTGTGTGCAGGTGTTGTGCAGTGTGGTGGAGACGTACGGCAAGGACCTTCGCCCACGCGACCTAGAAGCCACACTGCGACTCGAATACCGCTCCAAGGTGGGCTGCCCAGGTGCAGGGTGTTCAGGTGCATGTGCAAGGGGCTCGTTGCATGGCTCAGAGCCCCTGCTGCGTTCTCTGATTCAGCTCCCACACCATCATGCCTCAGCATTGGAACAAGTGCCATTCTGCAACTGGAACAGCAGATATTGCTTAGCTAGTCACCCAGACACTGCATGTTCTTCCCTCACTTCTGTGTGGGCCGAGAAGATGGCAGCGCAGGGCAGCGGGGGATATCACAGCTCAGTACGTGTGACTCACCGGGTGTCTGATCCCTCCTTCCCTCTCTTCCCCTCCCCACCGTCCCACCAGCTGCTGATCCCCAAGTGGGCAGAGAAGATGGCAGCGCAGGGCAGCGGGGATGCGTATGAGATCTCACAGCAGATGACTTCTGACTTACTGGATACCCGAGGCCTGCTATCCTCTCCATTCCCTCTCTTCCCCCTTCCCACCATCCCACCAGCTGCTGAACCCCAAGTGGGCGGAGAAGATGGCAGCACAGGGCAGCGGGGGCGCGTACGAGATATCACAGCGCATGACAGCGCTGCTGGGGTGGGGCGGCACCACAGGGTTTCAGGAGGACTGGGTGTTCGACCAGGCTGCTGACACCTATGCGCTTGACGACGCCATGGCTGCTAAACTCAGGAAAAACAACCCCCAGGTGCGTCTCTGTGTGTGTGCATGCGTGTGTGCGCTAATGTTGGGGTGGGGAGGAATGTTGGGGTGGGGAGGTAATCTGGAGTGCCCTTCCAATGCGTCCCTCCGGTGTGATCCCTTGCCCTTGTCCCATGCATTCACCATGGCACTGCAGGCGTTTCAGAACATTCTGAAGCGCATGCTGGAAGCAGCGGGGCGGGGCATGTGGCAGGCGAACGATGAGGTGATTGAGAAGCTGAGGGAGCTCTATGCTGAGATGGATGATGAGCTCGAAGGGGTGAAGCTGCGCTAGTTGGTGATGGAAAATAAGCAAAAAGCAACTGTACAAATTACCAGTATGAAGTGATTGAGACGTTGAGGGAACACTAAGCCGGTTGAGATAGATGACGAGGTAGAAGGGGTGGAACTGCGCTAGTGGGGCGAATCTGCATATACCAATAATGATATGGTAAAAGTAAACAAACCGTATGGATGGATGTTGCATATGCAGGCAAGCCGTAAAGGCTGCGGAGGATCAGAAGCAATTTGTATAGTTTCATCAGGTCATGTACCCACAACTAGTCGCTCGACAAGACAGTGAAATTGCATTTTTTTATACTAATCATCAACTGTTGCAAATTACAAGACAGCTCCTGGATGTATAAGGATATTGTGCGATCATGTCATCCCATCCCACAACAGCTGCCGAGTACCGTACACTACATTCGCTTTTGCACTATTGAACTGAAGCTGACCAAAACATGAAAAGAATCTGTTTTTTCCATCAACTAGCAGTGATCCCATCCCAAAGTGAAAATTTAAGCTTGAATCGTGACTTCTTGGACACCCCCCCGCAACCGCCCCGCACAAAAGCACGGATTCCTGCACAGCACAAGTCTACTATATCTCTCAAGAGTACAGGTGCTGCTGGGCTAGATCCACCGTATACCCACGAATCCTGCTCATCAAAGTTCCAACATATTCCCCCTGATGTTAATTACAGTTGACGGGATTTATTTCTGTCACCTACTATGGTAGGAGGAGCACGCACCACCCACCCTCATCTCCCCCCCCACCCACCCATGCTGAACAACCTACCCACTACCCGCACCCACCACATTCAGTACCCAACCACATCCCACCCACCCACCTACCTAACCACCCACTCACCACCCTCAGCCCCCATCCCTCGTCTCTTCCACTCACCCACGATAGTAAAATCAGGCCCTATCTCACATTAACACTCACCCATATCAGGGGATTCAGCCCCCATCCCTCTCACTCAACTTACCTTGGGGGATTCCCGCTGCCACAATTGCCCCTAACTCAACTCACCCTGGCTTTTCCTCAAACTCTCACTTCACGTACCCATCCCACCCAAGGGGATTCACCCCTTCCTTCTCACCCATCCCACCCAAGGGGGTTCTGTCCCCTTCCCTCTCACTCACCTACCCAAGGGGGTTCTGTCCCCTTCCCTCTCACTCACCTACCCAAGGGGGTTCAGTCCCCTTCCCTCTCACTCACGTACCCAAGGGGGGTCTGTCCCCTTCCCTCTCACTCACCCAGCCAAGGGGATTCAGTACCCTTCCCTCTTACCCACCCAACCCAAGGGGATTCTGTACCCTTCCCTCTTACCCACCCAACCCAAGGGGATTCTGTACCCTTCCCTCTTACCCACCCAACCCAAGGGGATTCTGTACCCTTCCCTCTTACCCACCCAACCCAAGGGGATTCAGTACCCTTCCCTCTTACCCACCCAACCCAAGGGGAGTCAGTCCCCTTCCCTCTCACCCATCCCACCCAAGGGGATTCACCCCTTCCTTCTCACCCATCCCACCCAAGGGGATCCCCCCTTTCCCTCTCACCCACCCAACCCAAGGGTTTTCAGTCCCCTTCCCTCTCACCCACCCGCTCAAGGGGGTTCAGTCCCCCTGCTCTCCCACTCACCACTCAAGGGGGTTCAGTCCCCCTCTCTCTCACCCACCCACCCAAGGGGATTCAGCCCCCTTCTCTCACCCACCCACCCAGCCCATCCCCACACTCACCTGCCAGCAGTAGGAGCAGCAGACAGCCCACCTCCTTATGGAAACAGCACCCCCAAAGGCAGTGCCTTGTGGGGCGAGGTGTGGTAGTGGAAAATTGCTTCCAGCCCAAGACTCAAATCCCACCCCTGACGTAGCCAGAGCTGACGCGAACCAGAGCCGCCGGCCGGTCGGCTCTGACGGTGTCCATTAGGCCTTGAACGCCAGATCGGTTACTTGAGCACCGAGTGCCGTGCCGCGCAGATTCCACCCACCACACCCCGACCCACAATGCACAACCCCAGAAGGTGCTGCCCCTAAGGCAGTGAACTGCCCACTCACTCCCATGCTTCCCACCCACCCACCCACCCACCCCACACTTCACACCCATGTCTCCTTACCTCTACCTACCGCTACCTACCAGAGCCATGCAGAGCGCCATGATGCCTTAGGCTGCTGGGAAGGGGGTGGGGGAAGGGAGGGGGGGATGAACGGAAGGGGGGGACTCCAGTGTGGTCCAGGCAGGGTGCCGCTGGGAGGGAAGGGAAAAGGGAGAGAGGAGGAGGTGAGTGAGAGGGTGGACTCCACTCTCCTGTCCTTGCTACAGTGCTCCCACTCTCAGGCTGCAAAAAAGACAAGGGGGGGAGGGGGAAGAGAGAGAGGAGAGAATCAGACTACCATACCTCACCTGATACCTTACCTCACCTATTACCGTACCATACCTGATACCACACCTCCCCACAACTTCAGCTAGCCTAGCCTGCCCCCTAACCCCCCACCCCCACTGCTGCTTCTGCTGCTGCCGCCGCTGCTTCTGCTGCTGCAACTGCTGCTGCCGGTCTGCTACTCTGCTTCCTCTGCTGCAATCTTCTCTTGTTGCCAAGCGACCTGGTAGCGGGCAGAAAGTGGGGGGGGAGGAACGGGAGAAGAGGGGCAGGAGGAGTGAGTAAGTTGGCATCAAGAAAACACTTAGTAAACCGAAGAACACTAGAGTGGAGAAATACGAGAATGCAGAACTGAAGAGAGGGAAATGAGGCATCTGTAGCAGGGAGGGGAAAAGTGGCTCACCTTGGTTCAGACGGCCCATCCCAATACTCTCCCATCCCATCCCAGCCGAGTGGAGTGCTGCCCCCCTCCCCTCCAACCACAGCGATCTGCACGGCCGCAAGGGAGAGACGTGAGGGAGTGGCGGTGTTGACCCCCACGCCCCTCCCCTCCACCTGCAATGGCCCACAGAGAAAGAGTGAGTGACTGGAGGAGAGGCGAGGGGGTGAAGGAGGCGATGCACGATCAGAAGAAGCAGAGGGGAAGGGGCCACTGGTGCAACCTCAGTTATAAGCCACAGACCCAAGGGGGAAATATACCTAGGAAGGCTTAACCTGAGAGTATACCTGCTGTACCAGGGGGGATCTACCTTAGAAAAAAAAGGGTCTGTGGCTTGAAGCTTTGGCGGACAGAATGAAGAGGAGATGAAGCAGACAGAATGGCCCTGTTCGGTAGCCCCCCCAGTTACACTGCGGTTGGTGCAGGTGATCTTCCGTGGCCCAATTTCGATACCCCTTCCAGCCTACCAAATCGTTATTAGAACACCAAACCTGCCTAGTGCGAGTTGTCTACCGAACGCGTCATAAACCCAATCCGAGTGCAGGGGAAGACACTACCACGAAATTGGCGTGCCCAGGCAAATTTGACCGTCAGTGCAAGTCCATCCCATTTCAGCTTTTCAGTTCCACTCAGGCAGGCCCACTCTGAGTGGAATGTTGGAGGGTATACGCTACATTAGTGTCATTTCGGGCCGAATAAATATTTTTAGTCCGTTCAATAAAAAACGACGAGAGATCGTGCTCACAGTCCGTTTTTATTTCATCCATAATGAGGGGAAACCATTTGGCGGGCTGATTTCTTGTTTGTGGGTGGGGCAGCAGGCCAACTTCGGTAAGCAATTTCTCAACAAACACGAGGTAGCTTCTTGAAACTATGGATGAAACTTCATTCTGGCCCTGTTCGGTAGCCTCCCAGTCACACTGGGCCCACTCGAACTGGGGAAGCCTCTGATCCGTTTCGTAGCCTCGAGCCTCCACTCGCACTAGAATGAAGTTTCATCCATTTTCTGCAAGAAGTTACCTCGTGTTTGTAGAGAAATTGCTGACCGAATTTTGCCTGCTGCCCCACCCACAAACAAGAAATCAGCCCGCCAACTGGTTTCCCCTCATTATGGATGAAATAAAAACGGACCGCGAGCACGATCTCTCGTCGTTTTTTTATTGAACGGACTAAAAATATATTTTCGGCCCGCAATGACACTAATGCAGCGTATACCCTCCAACATTCCACTCAGGGCGTATCTTGGGTTTGGGTCATGAGCACTGTTCCGGGCATGCGCGAATTGCGGATGCCCGGAACTACACGCTACACCATCCTCGAGTCAATCGCCCCATGCGACAAATTGTTTGGCGCGCAAAATTCCGAGAAAGAAATAAATGTGGTAACACACGTCGCGTCCAATTGGGCCTAGTCGTACATGCAAAAACACGAACAACCGCCGGCCGTGAGGCCGACTGACCCCTCCCACGCCACCGTCAAAATTCCCGGTGGGAAGGGTCACATTCAGATCTGCGCGGTTCCAAAACCCATCCGAACCCATCTTCCCAACAGCAGATTCCCCACGCTAGGGTTTCACCATGAGACACATGACAACCAGTACCATCAACCAGGTCTGTGAGACACACTTACCGCCGACGAGCAACAAGTAGCAGAAACCTATTCCGCGCACGTACAGATAGAGACGCCATGCCGCCACGCCGTAGCACCCGTGGCAAGGGAAAGGAAAAAGCAACTGACGATGAGCCGATGGCGGACCCTCCTTACGTCGCTTGGATGAAGGAGCAGAAGAAACAGGGGAAGTCGACCCCCTCCATCAAACGTTTATCCAAGTCAAAGCGCGACTCTGCAGGCGCGTCTACCAGTGGAGCGTCGCGGCTTGCTTACGAAGAGGGCGCCGATACCGACGTCAGCGATGACGATCTCGAAGAGATCGTTTCGGAATCGGATAGCGACGCCGACTCCGATAACGACAAGGATGGCAGTGACGAGGAGGAGGAAGAGTCTGACGGTGATGGGAGCGGCGACGATCGCAGCACACGCGCCTCGGAAAAGGAGAAGCGACCTAAACCGACGAGCAACAAGAGGCAGTGGTCGGATGCGGAGCTGACGACGCTCGCTGCCGCCAAATGGACTACAAAGGACGACCTCAAAGCGATGCAGGGCAAGCAAGGCAGCCAGTATTGGAAGAAGCTGCACGCCCACATAGTCGAAGGGGAACCGGGGTGGAACCGCGACGAGGGGCAGATGTCGAACGCGTGGAAACGCCTCGAGAAGAAGTACTTCAAAACGAAGCGTGGAGAGTCCTCCAGCGGCGGCAAAGCAGTGAAGAAAAAACCGTGGTGGGAATACGTGTACAACCTAAAGAAACACTCGGCGAAGGAGGCCCACGCCCTGGACGGTGGGGGCGCCGCCAACGTCAACGTCGAGGCGTACGCCCCGGTGCCCGGCACCAATGACCGGGAGACCTCGGTTCCGCCGGGCCAGGCGCAACAACGTGCATCACGTCGCCACGAATCCAACATAGGTCAGTGCTCCGCCTATTGAGCCTCATGAAATCCCGGTCTCCGTTCACCGATTTATATGTGCGGTTAACACATTGAAAGCGCGTCCAGCATGGCTTTGTGTTTCTTATACTTCACGCGCCTTAAGAGCTACAGTTCACATGTTCATGGGAGTTTGCATTGATACAATCCGTGTAGTACATGCAAACAACGAAACGCAAAGCCGCCTTATGACCGTCACATCCTACTCCCACCCCTATAGATGCGGCAATCACCCCGCCACCGAAACGACGGCGGGTAGAGGAAACCGCGACGATGGCGGCAGCGAAGTTGGTGAGCGAGGCGATCAACTCCACCAACGTGAACGTGGTGCGCCAGCTCCAGGACTCAACGCAGATTCTTGTCGCCGCGATGAACATGGCGGCGCTGCAGGCAGGCTTGCGCCTGCAGATGGTCGCCCCGCAAGCTCCTCATGATGCGCCTGCCACCACTCCGCCTCCAGAGCCGCCAGCGGACACAGGCGACGCCACCATGGCCGGGTCAGAGGAGGCGGCCGAGCAGCCAGCGCCTTAGCGCGCAGACTTCGGCACACGGCGACGCCTGAGGTAAGCCCTGTGAATGTGCTTGCCGAAGTGGCGGCGTCGGGCGCGCAGCTCGGTTAGAGTGGGGTTGTCCAGGCTCTTCCATTGGTAGCGATCCATGCCGCTCCTCGTCCACCAGCCATTCGGTATCCCCGCCCATATGATGCGGCGGGGGTTGTGCGTCCTCATCCTTGGTTTGCTGACCACCTGCAACATGTTGTGCAGGATGATGATGCAGGCGGTTCCTCCACACACGCGCAAGAGCTTGCTCTCGTGCCTGCGGGAGAAGAGCCTCCATCGGCCCTTCAGTGCGCCGATCGTGCGCTCAACCACCATCCGCGTCGCCGTCTGGGCGTAGTTGTACGTCTGCTCCCACTTCTTCATAAGGCGGCGGCGGGGTGCATGGAGGGGGGTTAGCATGTATGACTTCAGTGGATATGCCGCGTCCCCAACCAGCTGATAGGGGGCGATTTCCCCACTCTCTAGCCTGCCATGTAGTTCAGAAGTAGAGAAGACTCCCTGGTCATGCATGGAGCCGGGATTGCCCACCGTGTAGTCCCAAATGATGCCTTTCGAGTCACATGTAACCTGCAGCTGAACACTGTAGACAGATTTGCGATTGTAGTAGTCTCCCCGGTGAGCATCCATGCCTCGTATCTCAACGTGTGTCCCGTCTATCGCCCCGATGACGTTGGGCACACCTTTGACGGCGCGGAAGTCCAGCGCCATCTCCTCACGCACCTCTTCAGCAGGGAATTGTACCCAGTCGCGCTTGAATTTGCGCGGGAACCAGACCAAAAAGCAATCCACAAGGCGATGGATGAGACCCCTGGGCAAGCCGAACATGAAACTCATGTCGTGATACGTCATTGCACTCGCAAAATACTTAATAGGGATTAGGCAACAGAGTGATAAGGGGACTTGGTTGAACTCGACAAAGCGGTACATGGGGTGCGCCATTCTTTCCGCGATGAGGGTCGAGCACCTCCCGCGTGATACGGAAGGTGTCTTCGAATTCCTCGTCAAACATGGCGCGGATCTCCTCCACCCATTCCGCCACACGTGCCTCTCGACGGCGTTTCCGACTTTCACGGCGAGCGGTTTCACGGCGCAGACGCTCCTCATCCTCTGCCTGGGCCATCGGTAAGAGGGTGGTAATCCACTCAAGAGCAGCGAGGGATACTACACGCTGCCAGGTGTTGAGAAGGTACTCATGCCAGAGGTGTAATGCCACACATAGTATGAGTACCTGTGCGGTAACCATGGTTTATGGCCACGTTGCGTAAGGCTGCTAGGGTTTCTGGCTCCCCTTTAGAGCTGGTTTGCTCACCGTGTCGGGGTTGCAGCCTTGCTGGCAGCGCGGTTGAAGTTTGGCGACACGGGCGTGGAGACGCGCGTGCTTGTATACAGGGCGGTCTGTGCGTAGCAGTGTTTGGTGTGTGTGACGTGCTTCTGGTTGTTGCGTTTGCATATGCGAAGTAGTTGGGATATTTTGCAGGATTGTGGTGTACTTGCCACATTGACGGGCGTGCACCTCTAGCGAACGGCAGCATACAGAGGGGTTGATTTACATGGGGTCGCACAGCACTGTGATTGGTGGAGGTGACATTTTGTTTGACGGTCGCATGCAATTTTGAGAATGACCCGAGGTTCGAATCGCGCGCGCTTTGGGGAGGGGGTTTGAGTCATGCGCTGATTGCGGATGCCCTGTACAGTAGTATGAACAGTGCTCATGACCCAAACCCAAGATACGCCCTCAGAGTGGGCCTGCCTGAGTGGAACTGGAAAGCTGAAATGGGATGGACTTGCACTGACGGTCAAATTTACCTGGGCACGCCAATTTCGTGGTAGTGTCTTCCCCTGCACTCGGAGTGGGTTCATGACGCGTTCGGTAGACAACTCGCACTGGGCAGGTTTGGTGTTCTAATAACGATTTGGTTGGCTTTAAGGGGTATCGAAATTGGGCCGCGGAAGATCACCTGCACCAACCGCAGTGTGACTGGGGGGGCTACCGAACAGGGCCCTCCCCAGTTCGAGTGGGCCCAGTGTGGCTGGGAGGCTACCGAACAGGGCCAATGAAGAGGAGTTGGAAGGTGCGTTGTGTTGGCCCAGTTCGGGGCTTCCTGAAATGGAATCGGCACATTAGATGGCTATGTTGAGTGCGGTTGAGATGGTTGCAAAGTGGTTCGAAATTGTTGTGTCTCTGCCTTCTTCCAGTTTCCCCTGGGCAGTCGCAGGAATGGTTCAGCACAGCCCAGAGTTATTTCATCCAATCCTGAGGTGGGTCAAGTGGCGGAGGAGGAAGTGTTAGAATCTTAGAATAGAACGAGAATGATGGCATTGAGAAGCATGAGGAGTACAAGTACCAAACCCTAGAATGTTGTACCCCATATAAGCTACCCCACTACAGCCTACACAGACTATAGTGTATGAGTTTGACACACCCCCATAGGCAAAGTGGGGGAGAACAAGGGGTCACAAGACCAGTCAAGCAAAGCAAGGCAAAGCAAGCTCAGGGTGGATCACAATGTCACCACACAGTCTGAGCACAAGTTCAAGGCCACAAGGCCAGTTCACATGCAAGGGTACATATATATAACGCTAAACAAGCAAGGGCAGGTATATATATGTAACAGTACAAGCAAGGTCAAGAAGTAAGCAAGTGAGGCAAGGTAGGCACAAGACCTAACAGAGTACAGAAGCGCTGATGATCACAAGGCGCGAGTGCCTTGGTGAAGATATCAGCAGTGTTGGTCTCAGAGGCCACGTAAGCAAGGCGCAGCTGACCACGCTGCTGCAGCTCACGAGCAAGGAAGTAGCGGAGAGCGATGTGCTTCGTTCTGTGCTCTAGTCTGTGCTCCCGACACAAGGCCAGCATGGCCTTGTTGTCTACGTACAGCACTGGAGGAGAACGAGGCGGCTCTCCCAGGTCAGTCAGCAGGTAGGTGAGCCAGCGTAACTCCTGTGCAGCCATGGCCCCTGCGTAGATCTCAGCCTCACAGCTGGAGCCGAGAACAGAAGACGAGCGGGTAGACCGCCACGAAACAGAGCCGGAGCCAAGGCTGAAGGTGTAACCCTGTGACGACCGCTGCGTAGCCTGGTCGTCAGCCCAAGAAGCGTCTGCGTGACCAGTGAGGACCACTGAACTATGCCCTCCAAGCACAAGCCCCATGCCTGACGTACTGCACAAGTAGCGCAACACCCTCTTCGCTGCAGCCATGTGCTCTGGTCTGTGTCTCCCAGGAGCAACATAGCGTGCCAGAATGCTAAGAGGGTATGCAAGGTCAGGTCGAGTGCAGGTCATCAGGTACATGAGGCAGCCGACAAGCTCTGGGTACGGGCCACTCGACTCTACGGACTCATCCGAAGGCAGAGCTGAGAGCGAGTGGCGTGTAGGCAGAGGAGTGGCCTGAGGCGAGGAGTACGTGAAGCCGAAGCGCTGAAGGACCTGCTGCACCATGTGTGACTGAGTCAGGGTAATGGTGCGCTGTGCTCTGTCCCGGGTGATCTGCAAGCCAAGGTAGCTGCGCAGTTCACCCAGGTCTGTGCACGTGTGTCTCTTCTGCAGCTCGGACTTCACGTAGGCAAGTCCAGCAGTGTCAGCTGTAGCAAAGACCAAGTCGTCGACGTACACGAGGATATAGAACGGCGGCAAGGAAGAGTCGGTGCGCAGAAACAGCGACGGGTCGGCAGTAGAAGGAGCAAACCCAAGAGCCGCAAGTGTAGTCCTCAGTGTGTCGTGCCACTCACGAGGCGCCTGGCGGAGACCGTAGACTGGCCGCCAGAGGCTCCACTGGGTACCAGGAGGAAAAGACCCAGTGAAGCCAGGTGGGCGGCGCAGCCAGATCTCCTCGTGCAGGCTGCCCTGCAAGAAAGCAGTGCTGAAGTCAAGAGAGTGCAGCTCGTAGTCTCGGTGAGCGGCTATGTGCAGCAGTACCCGAAGAGTGGTCATCTTCGGGGTGGGAGAGAAGGTCTGAAAGTAGTCAACTCCCTGCCGCTGACTGAAGCCACGAGCCACGTAACGCGCCTTGAAGACAGGCGGAGAACCCGGCGGCCGCTTCACCCTGAAAATCCACATGCCACTGACGATGTTCGCCCCAGGCGGGGGAACCTCGTCAACGTAGGTGCCTGTGGACTTCCAGGAAGCCATCTCTGCGTCCATGGCTGCCTGCCACTGAGAGGAGTAAGGACCCGCTTCTATCGCCTCCGCGTAAGAGCGCGGAGTCGGGATGTCAAGTGCATCCGGGTCTCCCTCAGGGGCAAGCAGCATGGACACGAGATGAGGTGAAGCAGCAGCCAAGCACTGGAACTCCTCCTGCCTGTCCTCAAGGACGTCCGTGCCAAGAGCACACTCACCCCCGACGGACGGAGGACAGACAGACTCAGACTCAGCGACGAGACTGGCAGCGTAGTCTAGGCGACAGCGAGCAGCGAAGTCGACAAGCTCAGCAACCAGAGCAGACGCAGCAGTAGACTCAAAGGAAGGGTCAGTGACGACAGTAGCAAGGAGACGCGTGACAGTAGGACGCGCAGCACGAAGGGAGTCCGACTCAGGGTCAGGAAGGTCAGGAAGAGAGGACGCGGGAGGAGAAGGCAAAGGGGCACATAGAGGAGCAGTGGAAGGACGCAGAGACATCCGGTGCGTGCCGGGGACAGGGGGAGGACGCTGACGTGAACCACGACCACTAGTGCGAGCAGCGCGGACAGGCGACGCAGGGCGAGACGCAGGCTCACGACGCTCAGCAAGACCTCCAGTAGGACCAGTGTAGGGAGAAGGAGAAGGAAGCGGGGAGGCCGGCGGTAACTGCGACTCGGACTGGACAGGAGGCGGACACGCTAAGGGAGGAGCAGGACCAAGAGAGGACGGAAGACCAAGAACCTGCTCAAGGAGCGGAACGAAGTACGGCCGTGGCCGCGCAGCTCCACCAGTGCCAGCAGGAACAGCACCAGTACCCCCAACGGGAGCACCAGCACCAGGAGGACCCCCAGCTC